CCCCTCCCGCAGCTGGGTCATCGCCATCATGGGGGCCGTAAGCAGGAGCGAGAGGAGCCAGAGGACAGCGCTGGCCAGCTTGCGGTAAGCGTTGCTGGCCCGCCTGGCCAGCAGCGGTCTGGTTACCGCCCAGTATCTCTCCAGGCTCATGGCGGTCAGGAGGAAGATGCTGGCATGCATGGTGAGGAGGTCCAGACTGAGCAAAAGCCTGCAGCCCACATCCCCAAAGAACCAGTCGTGGGCAAAGTAGGTGCAGACCACAAAGGGGATGGTGGAGAGGTACAGGAGGTCAGCCAGGGCAAGGTTGATCACATAGACACCCAAGGAGCCTGCCGAGCGGCCCGCCACCCTGCCAGAGGCTACCACCACTGTGTAGATGTTCCCCACCACCCCAGTGAGGCACATGACCAGCAGCACTGCACCCAGCGGCCCTGTGACCGGGCTGTCCCCTCCCAGGACACTATCGCCGTCACCCCCACCACTGTTTTCCTCCAAAAAGCTGACACCCTCGAGATCCTCTCCAGACCTTGTGCTGACGGGGGAAGGATCACACGACATCTTTGGGTTGGGTGAGCAAAACCAAGTCAGGCTGTCAGCAACCCATTCCTTCCCTCTGCCTTTCCCCTCGGTGTGTAGCCTCAACACAAGACGGAAGAATGGCAAGAGTTCAGCAGACACAGGGTACTCCAGAGAAGTCTATTCCTCACCTCCAGCTGCACAGCCCATTTTGCTGATCTTGTCCACCACAACTCCGTCCAGCAGTTTTCCTGAGGGCTGAGGAGGGGACGCTCCCTCCCCTTCAAGACTGATAGGTGTAAAATAACCTCTGCCAGTCAGGAGGAAATGTCTCTGCTCTTCACCAGATCCTCATTTCTTGTTTCTCCAGCATTTGCTGGGCCCACGGAAACCAGCAGACTCAGTGGACAAGCAGGCTTCTCCTTCTCCCAGGTCTGTGTCCTCTACAGCTCAGACAGACTGTGAAAAGGTGGGCTCTGCTCCCCTGAACCAGCCCCTGCAGAGTTGCTTTGCCCACTGCACAGAGGAATGTGTCTGACTCAGAGCTTCGCACACCGGTGTGAACACGGTCCTAGTTTATACTGGGTACTTAGCCACCAGCTGAGGAGACATGGTGGCTCCCCCCTCTTTCTTGCAGACATGCTCCTTCTACCCCAGTGCCTTCCTCCACCTCCATCTTCCTTCTTGTTCCCTTTTTCTCTTTCTTTTTCTCATTTGAGAGAGGGTATAGCTGAAAGCCAAGACTTTGTAACGTGGCAGAGGGAAAAAACATCACACCGTGGCTTTAGAAGGGAAACAAGGGCCAGCCCTGAAAGTGCAATAGGCAGGGAGCTGCCACACTGCTCTCCTTAGCCCTTTGCCAAGCTGGGCTGAGAAGGCCTGTCGCCCTGCTCCCTTCCAAGCCCATCAGGGACCCAGGAGGTCTAGACAAGGGATGTAACTTCCAGTTCAAAGGCAAGCCCACAAGATTGTATGATATCTGACATTTTTTACTTCTTGGCTACATTCCACCCTTGTCCCCTAGTCAGCAGCAAGCTCCGAAAGACTCAAAGGGATGGATATTTTAGACTGATTCTTTCCTTCCTCTCCTTAAAGACCATCCTCCTTTTCTACACTTTCTCCCTTTACCTCGTCTGTTGCCTCACCTCAGAGCAGGGAGCAGAAGCCTGTTAAGTAGGCACCACTGCCTTCTAGCGGGACATTGCTGCACGACACCCATGTCCTCCGCTCAAACGCTACCTTGCTCTTTCTTCATCCACGTGGAGCCTCAGTCGTCTCAGGGAACAGACATGGTGGGAAAGAATCTGCAGAGCAGAGGCAGCTATGCGTTAACAAACATGCTCTGCTGCTAGTTCACAGAGGTCGTCAGCCACTGCGGCCACACTCTTTTGCATCCTCGGTGTATTAGCTTACTTGTGGCCGAGTTAAATGCCTCTACTCGCGCACAGCAGCAAGAACTCAGCGGCAAATAGGAGAAAGAAGCATCCTGCTGGTATTGCCCTCACTGCAGTAGGGCCCAAGCACCTTCGCAGCCAGCGTGCTGCATGCAACAGCAACAGCTTCAGCATGGTCTTGCCACCAGAGCGGGCGTATGGCACTAAGCATTGATGCAGGCAACTGCAGAGCCCTCCCTGTGGGTTGTGTCAACTCTTGGCATGTCTGGGTCACTCTCAACACTTCTTTCCAGAGAACTGAATTTGCAGATCTTCAGGTATTTTCCTAATGGACCACCCTATTTTCACATTACCAGAACCAAAAGACACTTCGTTTTGGAACACAAGCTTTGCAATAGCATCCAGTTTTTAAGACGGTTGTGTTCCAAACTGGGAGAGATCAGCAAACTGCAGTGAAAACATACTTTTGGGCAGAAAGCTTAATTGTGTCATGGCAGCAGGATGAGTGGTGTTGCTTCTCCTCCGGGAATTTGATGCTCCCAACAGGTTTTGGTGGTCTCAGCACAGAGAGAGCCCCCTTGGACCATGCCTTTGCCCACTTGACTCTGATGGGAAGATTCACCGTCCATGTGTCCCAGGAAATGAAATGAGGAGCCACGGCATCTTGCTCTGATTGACCATGCCTTTTTTTCAAGAAATGACCTCATGCCTTAGCAGTTAGCAGCTCAGCTCATTGAGGAAGTTAAAATAAATTACAACGGGATCTTTAATTCATTTCTTTAGGAGCTAATTAAAATACCGGTCGCCTCATTAATTCCAGTTAGCTTCCCTTAACACACGAGATGCCTACTTTCACACTGCCTGTGTAAAACTGCAGGCACATCAGATTCTAGTCATCAGCGGAACTCAGCTGGTCCTTCCAGCATTAGCTCTTCCAGGAGCACTTTAAGAGATGATCTTTAAGACATGAATCATCGGTTGATTTAGCAGTTAGAGCTAACTGTTACTAGAAGGACATGAGCATACAGACCACTACTGAATAAAATTATATGTGTATGTAATACACAACATATACATATGCAATGCATAGGTCAGAATGGAAGTGCCAGGCCTTTGACATACAGAGAATGAGGGAGCAGGAATCCATGTAAGTTCAGACATCAACCCCTAGGCTTTGTAAAAGCATCCTAAGTCTGTACCAGACACAACATAGGCTGCTCTCTGCTGGGCCTAACCTCCCTCCATTGGTTTGACTAAAGACTCGAACTTGACAGCTGAACTTGAATGGCATGAATATCCCCATAAGCATCTTCCCTAGGGCAATATTCCACCTCCCAAGACTTTTTTTTACGTGCATGCGTGCATACACACACACACACACACGTTATTCACAGACACGCAAGTACGCATGTGGGTTGTTTTTGAGCAGGTCTCTTAACTTTCGCTGTTAAGGAAGGTCTTCACACAAATGCAGTCTGAAGAAGTTTTCAAGACTATACACAGCAGGAGGAAACAGGCTGTTAAATTACATCTTGTAAAGTGGCCCTTCTCTAGCTGATCAAACTCTGTAACCAGCAGAGAAGCCGTTTCTTGTACAGGAACAGTCTCTCCTAGCCCAGCAGCCTCTGCAGACCGCTGGCGGGTAGCTCCAGCCATGCAGCTGTTTTCTTGCATAAGATAGGTGCCTGTCTGCAGTTTCACACAGGAGTGATGCTAGGTCCCATGTGCAACAGAGCAAGTGCCAAGTTTTCAAGGCCTGTTGACAGGCAAGGCCTGTCAGCATCCAGTCAGATCACAGAAACTCAACAGTCACAGGCTGCACTGAGGATTCAGACTCACAAAGTCTTGCACTTGAAAGGAAGCAGCTTAATTGGGCCCTGAGAACAAAGTAGACCATCTTTGGGGAAAAAAAAGTGCTTCAAAGGGTGCTTTGAGAGCACTGTGTTTCTCTGACATCGATCTTCTCTTCTCTCCTGACAGCCCACCCAACAGGACAAGGTAGAGTCGAGTCATAGTGAGGTTCCTGCATAGCGTCCTAAGATTTAAACTTGAAGTAGGCTTCAACTGTAGTGAAGGAAAAAGATGATGCATTAGAGCGATACTCTGAACCAAGGTGGCAGGAGAGGGTAAGAAACAGGCTCCAGGCACTTACTTGCGTATTCCTGCGGTGTCATGGCCTGGTTGATGACACTAGTGAAGGCTGCGATCCAGTCCAGCTGGTCAGCCTCCGTCTCACAGGTGAAGAGGTATTCCCGGTCAGGAGTGACAATGGTGAGGCCATAGTGCCAAGAGAAGTTGCCCTGTGTCCCCGAAGGCAATCCCTTCTGGACGCTATAGCCATTCTCTCTGCTGCCCACAAATACCTCACCCTTAGCATAGGCATCCTGCACAGCAAGAGGGAAACAGAGGGATTTACGGAATCCCAGAAGAACTAGGGAATAATAGCAGTGCCTTTAAGGATAGGAGGAGAGTAGGTGAGAACCAAGGATGTAAAGCAAAGAGATTTGCAGGTGTTCAGCGGATTCAGAAGAGCAGAGAGGCTATGCTCGAAGGCGGCAGCAGCAGCAGCAGCAGCAGAAAGGAAAATTTAAGAGCATAGATCTCAAGAGGCCTCAGAGGAACTGCTGCTTCTGTCTCTCCATGTCAACCCCACTGTCACTCTCCTCCCCATCACCACCTTTACACCGCTGCCCTCCCTGTTCCCACTGTCTGAAAGCAGCAAGACAAACACAGAAAGCATGAGATGAACTTAGTGGGATGGAAAGGGGAAGACCTAGAGTCTGTTCAGAGCAGCTGGGGAACCCACAAGCCTCCCTTACTGCAGAGCAAAGTCTCTGGTTGCTCTTTGACCCTGCCCTCAGCACTGCTGCCTGCAGCTGCCAGAGGTCAGATCTCCCCCTCACCAACGGGTCCTTGAAGTACATGAGCCTGCGGTGATCCAGCGTGAACCAGCGCTTCTTAAAAGCCTCTCTCTGCTGTAAAGCGAAGAGGTGACATATGTAAGGCGACAGTGCCCTCTGCCGCCAGCAGTGCGAATAGATACCCAAAATTAATCCCAACCACCTGAACCAAGCACTGCAACCTCCTCCTCGCCCTTTCTGAGCTGAGAGTGAGGATCAGTATCAGGTTTTTCAGTCCCAAGTGCTGTCCCCAACTCCTGGACTTCTGTGAAAGACCCCAGAGTTGAGACAGGAGAAATCTAGACACTAAATACCTGTAAGAGCACGCACACACAGACACATGCAGAGAGATCTGTTGTTCTGGGAGAAAGCAGGGACTCTGGCTTCATCTACTTTCACATGTGTCCTTCCCCTTCCTTTTATTCTCCCCTCCCTTGGCACACACACACTCTTCCCACGGGTGTCTAAAGAGCCAGGGGCAATGGGGAAACAGCAGGAGAAAAACATTGAAGTAGGGAAGGTCAGTGCCTCTGTGGGAAGTCCCTGTTAGATTTTTTTCTCCCACAGCAGCTCACCTTGGGACCAGTCTTCTCCATGTATCCCTCCTTCAGGAAGTTTCTCGTCAGGCGATTTTTAATCTGACAAAAAGGCAAGAGTAACATTCACTTAGCCACGTTTCTTTGCTATTCACTTTTGCCCCGATCTTTCCTTCTACTCGCCAAAATTCAGATGCCTTTTAAACTCATGT